CAAAAAAAATCTCAACTCAGCTCACAATTTCTCTCTCAGCCCTATCTCCATTCCCACATTACATTCTCTCCATTCCCAGCCCCATTCCCAGCCCCATTCCCAGCCCCATTCCCAGCCCTATTCCCAGCCCCATTCCCAGCTTCCACGTTCCTACTCCGTGGAAGAGAGTATCGCGATGATGTTTTATCTCTGTGAGTGATGGGATTTTCGATGCCTAGAAAGACAGAGCTACTCCGTGCATGCTTGTTTTAGGGTTGCCTTTAATCCTTTTACAAAAAAAAAAAAAAAAAAAAAAAAAAAAAAATTTACGCCCCGAGCTTTCTTTGAGAAGCAATTTGACTAACTCCCACTTCCTACTATTACATAGATAGGTAGGTAGGTAGGTAGTCGGTCGGTTCACGGATTGAGGATCGCGGAGACATCCGTCCTCGTTCGGAAAGGGGCTTAGGTATTTATTGACCGCTCGCTAATTTGTCTGTAGGCTAGGGGGCCCGTTTGGTTCAAAAGCCCAGCCAGTACTATTCATAGCATAGATCAAGGGGTTAAATACCAATCTTCTAATAAAAAGGTAGGTCAGTAAAAACAGCGACGGGGGTAACAAGAGCAGTCGAGAACACGGGTGGGTATTATCATTTCATGAGATCTGGTACTGGGTACAGACGGGGCTGAGGGCTCTACTTCGACAGGGCATCCAGCTCCGCGCTCAGCGCCCCCAGGTGCGGGCTCACGGATTCCTTGCTCCGCAGGGTCATCACCGCCCCCCTCTGAGCGATATCGATGAGGTGCGCGTCTAACTTCAGGCCCTTGGCGAGGCCGGCGACCAGGACGCCCAGGAAGGTGTCGCCTACGCCGTTGACGCTGACGACGTCTTGCACGGCTTCGACGGCGGGGAACAGACGCATATACACGCCGCCTACCGACGCGGTGCCGTTCGAGCAGCGCGAGAGGATGTACGGCGCATGTGCCGGGTCGAACAGTCGGGAATCGCCCGGCCGCAGCAGTTCGGTCACGAGCACGCCGTCGGCGCCGAGCTTGGTCAGGATGGTGGGGATGAGCGGCAGCAGCTGGATGGCTTGCTGGGGAATGCCCTCGTCCGCCATGGCCGGGTTGGTGATGGACACGAGACGGTCGCGGGCGCCGGAGCTGGGGATGCCCAGGGCGTCGATCGTCTTCCACCAGGCGTCCGAGTCGAAGTGGCCGTGTTTCCGGGCCGCGGCGTGCATTGCTGCCAGCTCGTGCTGGTTGGGCGTTGCGAGGTCGATCTGGTTGGCGGGGAATGGCTGCAGCGTGTGCGCGCCGGCAGGGTCGGCGGTTGCATCGGGCTCGAACAGGCCCGCTGATTTGGCGACGGATACGGGCTCGAAAGCGACGTGCGCGTCGAGAGCGTGATAGTGTGAGATGATCTTCCGGATACTGCCTCGTTGCCAGTTCGCGTCAACCACGGCCCATTTGAGGCTGCTTGGAGGGCGCTGCATGATGAGGGTTTGGGGGGATTCAGTGGCGAAGAGATTCATGTCCGCCATGGCGAGGACGAGATCTTTCTTCCCGTCGTTCACCGCGACGTATTGTGCGGTTCGGCCGGCAGGTATTGTTGCTATGCCGGACGAGTCGAGGCCCTCTTCTGCCAATGCGGCGAGGACGGTCTTGCCGGCGCTGGTATGGTCAGTACGATGGTCAAACTACGACTGGGCAGTTGGGACTTACAGATCATCGCCAATAAAGCTGCGCAATTGAACGGATGATGAGCCACTGGCACGATGGGCAGCGAGAGCTACGTTGTGGCCGACGCCGCCGATAGAAGGAATAATTGTTGCGATGTTCGAGGTTTGCAAGCGAGGAGATTCTGGGTGAGCTCCATCAGATGCCGAGCCTCCCCTTTCCTTCAGAGGAATGTAGTCGCACGAAAGATCCATGGCCACAGAACCGAGAACATAGATGCTGTGACTTTTCTTGGAGGTTTGCACCACGCCAGGTTCTACGAAGGATGCCACAGCGGGGCTCTCGATTTTCTTTGCAGGCTCGACAGACTCTTCAATGGACTCGAAAATCTCAGGGGCAATGGACTGCGATTTCTTTTCAACATGTTTTATACTACAACTGGTCAGATGACGGCAACAAAGAAGGTTCAAACGGTAGGTTAATTACAATTCTTGATTTATATTCTTCCGACTTCTGAATATGGCGAGATGTTTAGCAACCCGTGCAGCCATAGTAACGTTTGACTCTACCAAAGCCCTATTGGCGGGTAGACTGTTTCCTTCCGTAAGATCCTTGATACGCGCGAGGATGAAAGGCGTGTTAGCAGCGCCGTGAAAGCCTTGCTCTGCGGCTTCCTTTACAGCCTGCTCGATTGCTGCGTCGATCTCTTCTTTGGGAAGAGCGAACTCCTTTGGAATGGGGTTTGCAAAAAGCATTCCCGAGTGCATATTACTGTAGTGACCGAGAATTTCTTGCGAGTCTGTGACGATCAGCTCGCATCGCTCAGCACTTTGGAAGGGACATACAAATGATTGCAGCGGCATCTCGCGCGTCCCGAACAAGCGCGTGGCTTTTTATGCCGCTTTCTCGGGTGTAAAAGGCAGGAAATTCGATGTCACTCCCCGTCCTGCCATCTCTGAAAGTGCATACCGTTGCGCCTTGCGTTTCAAGATACTCCAATGTCCGTGGGATGTCCAGAAAGCTCTTGCAACCGCTACTGATGACTGCAACGGGCGTTCTGCCCAGCTCGTTCAGATCAGCGGAAATGTCCATGCTGTCTTCAGCCCCCCGATGAACGCCACCGAGCCCGCCTGTACCGAAGACTTTGATTCCAGCTCGGTGCGCAAGCATCATCGTACCGGAGACAGTGGTACCCCCATTCATCTTGACTCCAGCGAGAGCCTAGAACAGTGAGAAATCTACTCTGAATCCAGGGGGGGGGGGGGTTGAAGACTTACCATTCCCATGACATAGGGAAGGTCCCTCCGAGAAACCTTCATCGTCTCTGGCTTCCCAGCCGAAGAGGCGAGCTCGATGATTTCCTGAGCACTCAGCCCAACCCTTGCCACCCCATCCAAGACCCCAATGGTCGCAGGGATCGCTCCATTCTTGCGGACAATCTCCTCCAAATCCAAGGCGAGCGCTACATTGTCTGGGTACGGGAACCCGTGAGTGTAAATTGTCGTCTCCAAGGCCACTACGGGCTGGTTGTCTTTCAAGGCGTACCTCACCTCATCAGATACTTTGAACACTGGCAAATCCGAGGAAAAATATCGCTTCTTCTTTGCACGCTCAGCCGCCATTACTTTCTGTCTTGCGCCTGCCTTGATCTGCGCTTGTCTCAAAATCTGATAGATTGGGAGCCTCGATGCGTCCTCTTTTTTTGAGGCTGGAGTCGTCGTATATAAGTGCAGACCACCCATCCCACCTCTGTATTGAGAGGAGGCCCATCCCGTCGAGATGCGAGGAACGCGACGGGGTCCAGAAAGAGTCCTCATTATCATGTTCGGTCGAGCGAGATTGAGGACGAAGTATGGCGAAGTTCAAACGGAACTGATCGAAGACCCATCGGTGAGAATGAAACATGCTCCTGGCAAGACAAAGTATTGAGATGGTTTGCGATATAGAGGTGCCATATCACGTGGAGTCAAGAGCCTCAGCCACGCCCAGGCTCGACATCAGCCACACCTTGAACGACAACCCACGAGGGACGACAACAACCGTATGTATGCGCAAGGGAGGTGGCCTAGGTATGTTATCGCGGCTATGGTGATTCGCTTTGGCCCTGTTTATCAATGCCGAACGAGCTGAAGGCATGATTGTAAGGAAACCATTCATCGCTGTCATTAGCTCATATCATCTGACGGCGAGCTATTGCTGCTGTCATTTCTGCCAACTTCACTTCACGGTTTTATATCTCTGTATATAGAAGACGGCGCCCCAGCCCAATACTCCCCCGGGTATTGTATCCAGCGGAGGCATTGAATTCCCGGCCTACCCTTCGGATCCGGGATTTGCCATTGATAGCACCACCATACCCGTCTCGGGCTACACGACTGGCAAGAGATTCATGGTGGGGGATGCTACGGTGCCGGAGAGTTCGTCCAAGCATGTTTACTGCTTTTGGCTGGATCGCTTGGTCGGGCCCGGTGCGTCGATCAGCGATGACTCCTGAAGGGCTTCGTCTAACGTGCGGGATTTGAAGTTGATGGGGAGTGGATATGTACGTTTTACGAATTTCCTTATCAAGGCTTATCAAGGAGAGGAAGCCATGATCAATAACCGAGACTCTCATTCACTCCGCTCTCTTGCATAGCGTGCATAGCGTTGAGCAAGCGATGTTGTGCCAAGGCAAGCGACCTCAACGCTTTACCGGACATCTTTCACGGGGATTGCAAGGACAGCAATCAGCGGTATCCTCGACAGCAGGACGATAACCTTGGGGACAAACTGGATGCCACTTCAAAAGATGGGCTCTGTGGAGCTAGAATGCTGCATCGGAGGACAGATGGCTGTTCTTCCTTAGCTGTCGACCTTCATCTCGCTTGGGTTCCTTCCTATCCTGTCTCTGGGAGAGGAGGATACCCATGACATATTGCAGAAGGAGATGAACATTGATCCGCATCAATCCGATCCTCAATCCTCGAGGTCAATCGGACTTTCGAGCCATTCTGAAGCGAGTACTGCGAGGGAGGGGACTCCACGTGATATTCCGGGTCAATATGGGTTCCCCGCATTTCCGACGATCACCGAGGTCTAGATGCCAGTCCTGGAACGACGGGCGGGATCTGGGATCCGACTTCAACAGAGCGATAGGAATGATGCGGAGCTCAAGCTCAAGCTCAAGCTTGAGTTGAGATAAGACAAGCTGCGCTGAGCTGCCTTGACCTGAGCCCCTCCTGTTCCTCCCCCATCCTCCATCCTCTATCCTCCATCCTCTACGATACCCATATACATCATCAAATATTCCACAGCATCACGTCTCACATCTCGTCACCTGAGGTTGACGTCAATATGCCATTGCACAACGGCTGGCTCCCCCGCGAAGGCTTCACCGCTGACCCCATCGGCCGTCTCATCAAGAAGACTGCCCTCAATCCAGCCTTCACCCTCGTCTTCCTCCTCCTCGCCCGGTACACCAAACAAGGCTCCGACCTGTCCATCCTTCACGAGACGGCCTTCTCGCGCATCAGAAAGTTGTTCTACTTCGGGCTCGTACGATGGGCTTCAAACTATCTGGATGCTCGTGAGCTCGACAACTGGACGACTGATAGGTATGATTGGAAAAAGGAGATTGTGTTGATTACTGGCGGTGCCGGTGGCATTGGTGGGCATGTCGTAAGGCTCCTTGCCGAGAAGGGGGTCAAGGTGGTAGTCTTGGATGTGATTCCCATGACTTTCGATGCTCGTACGCCCCCCCCCCCCCCATCTCCGCTACTATGGGACCAACGAGTCAGGTTAACATGCACAGCATCCAACGTGTACTACTACAAGTGCGATATCACGACCCCCGCAGCCATCTCTTCAGTTGCAAACGAGATCCGCAGGGATGTCGGTGCGCCTACCGTCGTGATCAATAATGCGGGTGTCGCGCGAGGTAAGAACATACTTGAGGCCTCCGAGAAGGAAGTACGCTTCACATTCGACGTCAACACTCTGGCGCACTACTGGATGGCGAAGGAGTTCGTCCCCAGCATGGTGAAAGCCAACCACGGCATGATCGTCACCGTCGCTTCCCTTGCAGCCTACATGACTGTCCCTAACATGACCGACTACGCCGCCTCCAAGGCCGCCGCGCACTCCTTCCACGAGGGCCTCACCGCGGAACTCCAGACCCGCTACCACGCGCCCAAGGTCCGCACCGTCATCGTCAACCCGGGGTACACCAAGACGCCGCTGTTCCAAGGCTACTCCAACGACTCGAAGTTCCTGGCCCCGAGCCTCGAGGTGGAGACGGTCGCGGAGGCAATTGTGCAGAAGGTACTTGCCGGGCATAGCGGACAGGCCATCTTGCCGGGTTTCGGCACGGCCTTGACTTTCTTGAGGGCGATGCCGCACTGGTTTCAGTTGAGGGAGAGGAGCAAGAAGGCGAGTATCATGAAGAAGTGGCACGGCAGGCAGGTGATCGACCTGGACAAGTGGCATGTGGAAGACAAGGAGAAGGAGGGGGCTGAGAGCGCGTAAGTCTCCTCCGTCTGGGTACTTTGGGGAAGGGGGGTGCTGACGATGCATGCAGGTCTACTGTTCTGGTGCCGCCCGAAGGCCAGTAGAGTGGGTGGGTGGAACCCGTGATCAAAGATAGTAATGTGCCTTGTTCTACCTATCTCGCAACGAGGATGTCCCTTGGCTATGGTACGACCTGCGACGTATCTGCTCTTGGTTAATGGCTCCTCGCTATATCACCACCCGTCTCTGGGTTTCATTAACCATGTTTGCATCCTCTGGGTTTCTCGACTCCACTCCGTATACGGAGTATATCCCTTTAACCTCCCTTTTTTTTTTTTTCCTTCTTTTTCTGAATCCCCCTCACTCCTCCCTTCCCCCTTCCCTCCCTCTTCCCACCAACCCAACTCAACCCAACTAAACTAAACTAGACCAAACTAGCAACAAACAAACAAACCAGCCAGCCAGCCAGCCCGCAACGCCGACCTCCCCAATCTAAACCCGCTACGGTAGAAACCAACCCTAGCTCGTTAAACAAACCACCCCCCTCTCTCAGCGTGCCTTTACAGAGCTCCATCCCTTCCTACATCCCTTCCTTCCTCCCTCTCCCTCCCTACCTTCCTCCCTACCTAATCTCGATCAGCGAGACTTATGTATCTCTTTCAAGAAAAACGAAAAAAAAAAGAAAGAAAAAACAAGAAAGAAAAAAAATTGTAATAATAATAATAATAATAATAATAAAAATAATAAAAATAATAATAATAATGATAGACAAATGATTCATAATCTCGACCCGTAACGTGACTGTGACAACACGCCAGGGGTCTCCAGGGCGTATATCCCCCACAAGCGCCAAGCTACCCCACCTCCTTCCTCTTTCCTCCTTAGTCTTCTCCCCTCTGCATCGCCTTCGTATTTCTTTCGTATTCTCGCTTACTAATTCACGTTTCTCCGGGACGGTTTTCAGCTCGGGGACGGCCATAGATAGATAGGACGGTCTTCCAACGCTCGCTCGAAAACGGTCCCCAAGACGGTTTTTATACGAAAAAAAAAGACGATGTAATCGAATAAGATGGTCCTATTTTAGCTACGAATTTTTTTTTAAAAAAAAAAATTTAAAAAATTTAAAATCGTTTTTTGTTTTGTTTTCAGATTCGATTCGATTTGATTTTTAAGTATCGGCCTAGGGTGATCTACTTACTAGCTATGCCAACCTTTTGGAATCGTCTTTTAAAAAGAGATGGTTATCGGATTGGCAGCTGACGGTCTAGGTAAAAAAAGCCTTTGCATGCATTCTCCTTTCAGGGTATTTCTTGAAGAAAAGAGCTTAGGTACTGAATTTAAGCGGTCTGATACCTACCTAATCGTCGGCTCGCTTAGGTGGGCCTCCTTTCATCCTTTCAGTCTTAGTCGGCATAAGCGATTGCGGATCGGAAGCGAATGCGGATTTTTCTTTTATTACTAGTTATTATATACAAAATACAACTTAAAATATTACTTTTTAATTCACAATCGTATAATTCAATTGTATTTTATTAATTATAAGCCGAAAACGCGTTTATATACCGATAGTTTGATATTTTAAATCGATGAAAAGCTTGCTGTTAAGCAGCAAGCTGAATTTTTTTCTGAATTTAGTGCAAAATAATAATGAATCACT